ACACACAAACGTACACAGATACACACACACACAGAACAACTCATACCATATTCTTCCAATGATACTTAAGCAGGTGCAATGCTGTGAACCTTTGGTCCCAGCTACTCAGGAGGCTGAGGCAGGAGGATCACTCGAGTCCAGGAGTTCAAGACCAACCTGGGCAACACAGAGACACGCCTCCCCCCAGCCCCTACCAGCTCAAAAACAAACACACGGCTGGGCATGGTTGTTCACAAGTGTTATCTCTGTACCGGGAAGATCGAGGCCAGAAGCTTGTCACAAGTTCCACCAGGCTGGTCTAGAGGGAAACCCTGAAACTCCAAACCAAACCAATCTAAACCAACCAAACAAAAGAACAAGCTGGGGAGATGGCTCAGTGGGTGAAACACTTGCCCCTCAAGCAGGAGGAACCGACTTTGGATCACTAGAGCTCACACAGAGGCAGGACACGGCAGGGAACCTCTGTGATCCTAACACTTCTACACAAGATGGGATGTGGAGACGCCACCCCCCCCAAGCTGTCATGTCAGCTGTCAGGTCATGCATACAACAAGAGACCCTGTCTTCAACAAGATGGAAGACCAGGACACACATGTGAGGCTGTCTCTGACTCCCCATGCATGCTGTGACAGATACATGTCCCCACTCACACACATGAACATGCACACACACATACACATTCATATTGTACACACACAAAGATAAAACTAAAACAACAACAGAAAAATCCCCAGCCAGCTAAGAATACATTTTAAAAGGTCAAACCTCGGCAATTAGACCAACATTGCTGAGCCTGAGAAACAATATCTCTGTGTGGGGCTCATTTTATAGAAAAATACTGGAATTATCTATCAAAAGCATTAACAGTTATTAGCTCTGGGAAGAGATTTGTGAGTAATTTTAACTTAAAAATTATTAGCTGGGGGAGGTGGCACACACTTGCAATTCCAATGTGAAGGAGGCTGGGGCAGGAGGATCAGGGGCCCCAGGCCAGCCTGGGCTGCCCAGAAACACCTTATCTCAAAACATACATATACATTATTAATTGTTCTGTATTTTCTAACTTCCCAGTGAGCTGCAATATGTATTTTCAGAAGGAAAAATAAATAAAGCTTTCCTTCCCAGGGTCTATTCCCTTAACAACTCCTGCCTGGGATGAGCTAGGGTGGACTGGGTTCCTGGGCACAGGGGAGGCCACCCCATTCTTTCCAGGCCTGTGGGAGATGCCCGCTTTTCCCCAGACGCCCATAAATGTCTCATAACTGTGAGACATGTTCGGAGGCAAGATTGCCAACACAGCAGTACTGTTTATTTAGGGGGCAGGGCCAGGGCAGCCTGTAGAGGGTGGGGGGAGGCAGAGTCGGTAGGACGAAGCCAGGCTCCCCCAGGGTGCAGGGGTAGAAGGAGGCTGGCAGGGAGGAGGCAGCAGTGGCACAGGAGCCAACAGGGGGCAGGCAGGGGAAGGTCATCTGTGGCCACGAGCCTGTCTGCCTCAGGTTAAACACGTGGTCAGGCTGTCCTGGGAGCAATCTCATCCATTTCTTAGCAGTCATGACATCTAGTAAGTTACTCCTCCTCCTTCACCTCCACTTGCCCTTCTGTAAAATGGGCAAGTCTAAGACAACGGTCTTCTCAAACTGAGGCAACTCCACCTATAACTTAGCAATGCTGAGGCACTTCTGATGTCTCCGCTCCGGGACAGGCACCGCTGACTTGGAGTAACCACGCCAGAGCCACAATGCTCAGGACACTCCCAGGCCTCCCACTAGGAATTCTGCTGTCCAGGGGCTGGAGAGATGGCTCAGAGGTTAAGAACACTGACTGTTCTTGCAGAAGACCCGGGTTCGAATCCCAGTACCCACATGGCATCTAACAGCTGTCTGAAACTCCAGTTCCAGGGGCTCCAACAGCCTCTTCTGTCCTCCGAAGGCACTGCACGACACAGGTGCACTTACCTACATGCAGCTAATGTACGCATACACATAAAATAAAAAAATAATAAATAAAATAATAGTAATAATAAAAAAGAATTATACTGTCCGCAGGGTTATCTGAGTCAAAACTGAAAAGCCTGGTCCTGGGAGAATGGGTGTTGTTAACAGTCCAGCTGGGAAATGGGTACCTCTTCCCCTGCCCGTGCCTCAAGGAGCCACACATCAGAAGCCGCATCATGACTGCCCAGCTCTGATGACCTTGTTCTCTCCTTTGCCTCTTGGTCTGGAAGATGTCAGAGTTTTCCAAATGGCTACTGGCAACTTTCCCTCCCCCACTCCGGCCGAGGTGAGGGCCGGAGCAGTCCTCGGGGTCTGCCATTCTGATTTACAATGCACTCTTTGCTCTCAAGAAAACTGATGGGTCCCAAGGATGCTGACACAGCAAGGCCAGCTGACAGAGGTCAGGGGGATGGAGTAGGCACCCCTCTCCTCCCAGACCCCTCCAGAGCACGCTGGGCCGCTCCCAGTTGGCATAAGGGGGTAAGTGTGTAGGAGTAAATATTAGGGTTGGGCTCACAGTCTCTTTGCAGAAGAGTGTCCTTCGACCCAGTTGCTGCTGTAGCCCCTTAACAGCCCCAGGACCCCCTTGTGGGCTGCAATACCAGCTACCCTTGTCTCAGGACAAGAGTCCTCGTACCATGACTCTGAGTCCAACCCTCACCTGTGGGTCAGGTGAAAGTGGGACCCATCCCATCCCAGCGTGCTCTTTCCAGAGCAGAATTTTCTAGAGACTCATGTCCTCTACAGATCTGTGTACACGTCCCTGTCTCTCACTCTGCTTCTAGGGTGGAGACCCAGACAATGTGGCTCTGATGCTGAGCCCGGCTTCATGCTCCAATATCCCAGTGACCTGCAGGAAGGTGGGTTTGGGTCAGCTCACCCTCTACCTTCCTATTGGTGGAGGCAGATGCTGCTCTGGGGAGAGAGGTGGCACCTTGGTGCTGTTCTGTGTGGTGGACAGGATGTTTCCTTAGTGGATGGCAAGTGGAGGTCCTTCAGAACTGGCCCTTCCAGCCCAGACAGATCTGACCCCTCTGTCCTGGACAGAAACCTAGATCCTGCTGTTTGCCTTGTGTGGATATTTATTTTTCAATATTTTATTTATTATTTTCATTTTATGTGTATGAATGTATTGCCTGCATGTGTGTAAGTGCATCCATGTCATGTAGTGCCCATGGAGGTCAGAAGAAGGCATCAGATCCCCTGGAACTGGAGTTACAAATAGTTGTTAGCCACCATGTTGGTGCTGAGAATGGAACCCGGGTCCCTTGTAAGAGCAGTCAGTGCTCTTAAATGTCTCTGGTCCCGGAACTATATTTTTTCTCCTCTACTCGGAAGTTTGGGTACATCCCGGCTGGAGGAGCAACTTCTGCTTTCTGACTCCAC